GAGCGTCGATATGCAAGTCATCAAAATGGCCAAAGTGATATCTCCTTCGAGAAGCAGAGCAAAGACATAGCCCCCGCCCCCTCCTGGGCATGTGCAGGTCATTATGAATCCAAAAGCCTGTGCCTCAGGCAATGCCAAAATCTGAGTCAAAAGAAATCCACAAAATGGCATAAGAAAAAACTGTGTAACTGCCCCCAGAATCACTGGCAAAGGTCTCTTCCAGACTGTTTGAAACACCTGCAATTCAATCTTGCAGCCAAACGCGCATTTATTTAACAGCACCGTTGGGAGAACAAGCACTAGGATATTTCTATTGACGTGCATCGACGCCTGGAGCAGACTGTCTGTCCTTCGCTTGAGCACTTGGACTCTGATACTCTTTATTTCGTCAATGAGCCTTTCTTGCCTACCTTCAGAATCCCACAGTTGAATGGTCAAATTTGTCTCCCCTTCTTCATCTGTCACTAGGTTTATGACAAAGTTTGTAACGTCCGATAAGGTCTTGGTCACGTTCACCACCTGCAGCACCTTCGGATCTTCTACCTGCACGAAGAGGTAGCTGGAGTTGGGCCGTTTGTCTCTGTAACTTGATCTTACGCTGACGGATTCTTCCGTCTTTGTGAAAAATAGTGTTTCAGTGTTTTCTATATGCAGAAAACTGAGAAATGAGTTCCTTGCTTCTCCCAGAGTCACAGATGACAAAAGCAAGAGAATAAAAAGTTTTCTAATCATTTCGAAAGCTTAAACTAATCACATATGCAAAAGCGTTTAAAAAAAAAAAAAGAACTAGAAAACATTCCTGGTACAGGTGTCTCAGTGCAGCTGAGGTTTATGAGGTAACCGCTGTTTTTTGCTGGATCAAAGTCCGGTGGGAGGGACAGTTGTACTTTTCAAACAGATGCAAAGCTAATCTCGGGAGTGACACAACCTGCGGAACCTGTAGTTATGAAAACGTACAGGCCACGGCAGTTAACACGTTCGATTTATCACGGCCCGTCCTCTCAACTTTATTTCTGCTAAAGAAAAAACGGCCCCCTATTCATCTGAATTTAAAAACTTAGTGTCATTATTTTTGAGTTTTCATTCTTCCTAAAGAAAATCTACACTAAAAGTCAAGATCCAAAAATCTACAATAGATTCGAGAAGGCCTACACATCAGTGTTACTATTTTATTCATTCGAGTCAAAATCAAATGAGTATTTACTGGCCATGTTCGCTGGGTACTGAGCCAGGTGCTGGGTACCAGAGTAATCCAGCCAGACGCGGTCTCTGTCCGCCTGGAGCTTCATCAGGTGACCCCTTATCATTACTTAGAAAACCACGGAGCCCATAAATTGGTTGAGGCGGCTTACACGTGAGTGTTACTATTTTATTCATTCGAGTCAAAATCAAATGAGTATTTACTGGCCATGTTCGCTGGGTACTGAGCCAGGTGCTGGGTACCAGAGTAATCCAGCCAGACGCGGTCTCTGTCCGCCTGGAGCTTCATCAGGTGACCCCTTATCATTACTTAGAAAACCACGGAGCCCATAAATTGGCCTTGCCATATCCTTAGGCTGCTAATAGTTTTCCTACAACTCTAAAGAGTGATTGTGTCAGGCAAAATCCGAAACTGTTTTTGGTGTCCTTAACCAGAAAAACCATTTCCTGGATGATTATCGGACAGCTTGGGCACCTAGGGAAAGCAGGTGGCTGGACCCATGGCCAAAGGGACAGCCAGGTTAGGGGGCCAGCGCCGCTGGACACTTGGACCCTGACACATGGGACAATGGAAGGCCGCTGGCACTAATTCTCATCTTTCATTCCTTCCTTGTGACACTAGTCCGTGTTCACAGCTAAGGGCAAGGACATTCAACTGATCCAACTTAGGCCAAGTGCTTTTTGGACTTCGACCCGTAGATTCCCGTAATTGTGTATTTCTCACAGCAGAGGAGGGGTTCGGATGCTAAACAGAGAAAAAGAACAAGAAAACAAAACAATACAAAAAAATGCCACTACGACTGTCTAGCAAGAAGCCTACGGATCTAGGCGTCTCTGAACATGTAACCATTTCCGCAGATCCTTCACAAATCATGACGCTGTCCGTGTTAAATGCAACAATGAGTTTGTATTAAGTGTTTTAGATCATAAAATATTTGTTCCTCAAGTTATCAAAGCAATTTTTATTGGTCATTTTTAAAAGTTTCTAAAAATTCTATTCATGGAGGTTAATCTTTCAAATGCAACGGATCCTGTATTTCCACGTACCACACCAAGAAAAACCAGCTACACTGTGTCCCCATGATGAAAACAGGGAATGGAACTAAAGTTCTCAGGATATCTCAGTCAACATCCCAGAGAACTTCCCTACTTTAAAAAGACAAAAATGAAGCAAACACAAGTGAGAAACTTTACGAAACCAAAGCTATCTTCAGAGTTATGTGACCAAATATTTTAACTCACGATTTTTGTCACCCAGGTCAGATCTGAGGATCGCTCATTTTGTTTTCCTCAGATTTCCTGCCTGCAAACTTTCCCCTACATCAGCATCTCTTTCTTCTTCTTACCTAAAACTTTCGCGGAGTAAAAACTGACAAAGCTGGGAAATATTTGGAAAGCTGTCATTCGCACGTCTTTACTGGCTGATTCCATTTACACTAAAGCTCAATTGCCTCACAGTGTTGTTATAACTCTTTATCCGAATTTGAGACTCTTTGTGTGTTTTCTCCTAAGAATTCTAGTTGTTGGAAGCAGGTGGGAAGATACGCAGGTCGGATGGGGACACCCTAGACTCTCATCGAGCGTGCTCAACTCAAAGCCCGCAGAGGAAGCCTGCGAGGGCTGTGACATCACAGTAATCAGGGAACGAGAAGCTGGAGGGGCCTCTGCCCCACCTGCTCTCCTTAGGAGATGGCTCGGGCTGGAGCCTGGTCCTCGGAGCCTCTGAGGCTGCTGGTGCCCATATCTCTTTCAGGCCCGTTTGCTCCACTTCTGGAGCCTGACCAAACTCCATCTCTGTCAGCCTCCCCACCCCCCTGCTCAGCCCTCAATTTTTTTTTTTTTTTCCTGGTATATTTAGCTTTAGCTCAACCCATGAGACATGTGTCGATCGCCTACCATGTGCAAGTAATTATTACAGAAGCTAAAATATTAGTTTGTATTAAAACTTTTGGTATCTGAGAAAATACTGGAGAATTAGTTCTACTTCTGCTCTCCTAGTGTGTGATGAGAGAGCTACCGGAACTCGGCTACACTTACTTCTATTCATTCGGCACGTGCCATACTGTTTTCATGGATGTTAGAAGTATGTACATACTTTTCATAGTATGCAGCATGGCAACTAGAATCAAATCCTTACACTTAGCAGGCGCTCCAATAACTACGTCGATAAATGAATGTATAAGCAGATGATAAGTCGAAAGTCATCCCCATTCCTTGTGTAAAAACAATACGAAGAAAAAAATCAGAGATGAATGAACATTAGTTTTTCCTTTAATGAAACCTGAAGTCACTATATGTGTCCATGACAATAAAAATGGAAAAGGGACAAAGAACAGAAATAAGTTCTATTTCTTCTACATAGTAGTACTTTGTCGCAAACAGATGGAACACATCCGTCAGAGCGGTCATTTTAATGGGTCGGTAAACTGCAGTTACTGTTAGCAAGTAGTTTGCTTTGGCGAAATATAAGCAGACCGTAATGAAGCCGAGCGGCTCCACCTTCCCTCTCATCTGCAGTTCATTCCTACAGACGAAGAGGTGAGTCCACTGGAGGAGGTCCGTGATCAGAGATGGGCCCCGAGGCGGTGAGGGCACACCAGCAAAACCACTCCCCTTCCCGGCCTGAGACTCTTCATCCACACACTCTGAAGAGTGGATGACACGGTCCCTAAGTTTCTAGGATTCAGGTACAGACATCGATTTACACATCACGATGCAGGTAGATAGGAAGGCTACACTTCCCGGCCCCATGATGCTACGCGTGGTCACGTTACTTGTTAAAAAGTGACACCTGTATCTCCTAAGAGCCATCTCTTTCTTCCTCTGTGCTAAGAATGGCAATGTCCCAAAAAGGACATCTAAACATTCAGTTTAGATCCTGGGGTGAAGATGACACGTAGCAGAATCATAGTCCACCAACAGAAGATGTCAATCAAATGAGAAATACACTTTTTTGTTGTTTCTACAGCCTATAAAAGCTCATTAAATATAAGAATTTGCAATCGAGTGTAAGTTCATAGTTAAACTTTGAAACACAAAATTCAAATTCGATTTAATAGAAAACTGATAATGTACATTATGATGTAATGGAAATAAATTTAAAAACAACTTTTAAAAATAAAAATATATACTATTTGTAGTAAATAAAACCAACTTCACGTAGAATTTTCACTGTGATTCCTGGCTTGAATCCTGAACGACTATTCAAAGTAAGAATCAATATCTTTTAAGAACTGTTCGTCGTCACTAAGATACTCCAAGATGACATTTCCACCGCTGTGCAAAGGACAAGCCTCCTTAGCCATCCAGCTTTCTAACGTGTGATCCAAGGGTAAGGCCTGTCCCGAAGTCACGTGACACAGCCTTAATTTCTGTGAAGAGAGAAATAAACCACAAAGACATGCTTGTACAGCACACCCTAAACGGAAAAATGACTGCAACGCGTTGTTACCTTAGCTGTGAATTTGTTGTTGTCATTTTTAAGACTGGCCAAAGCGGCTGCAAAGTCGATGGCCTTTCCAACGCTCCATCGGTGGCAGAAGAACATCGGTTTGCTCTTCTCCTTGCTCCCCTTAGGTAAGAAAACTTGAAAGTAAATTCGTTCTGTCTGCAAAAATAAAAAGTTAAAATACAGATTACATATGTGATATAGACATGGATTGTTGTCTGGTGATCTCTCTTCCTCTCTTCTTCCGGTCAAAGAAGGAATGCTCTCTAATGATGGAATGTTCACTGGGAATACCAATCACAGCACCCAGTATCCAGGTGAACGCGTGGACACAGCACCCAGGACCCTGGCCAGTCTATGCAGAGACAGGCATGTGACTTAAGTTAGGCCAACGAAGGTCTTCTCCTGGGATTTTATGTTCATAAGCTGTGCTGAGAAGCGGGCTCTTCTTTTAAGGTTTTTAAGTCCTGTTAAACGAAACTTGGAGTCGCCTGCAGCTGTCCCCCATGCCCCTTAGCTATTCCTGACCCAGTGTGGGAAAGTCTTCTCCAGCGTGGAAGAATGAGTCCAACACAGACAGAGAGAAGTCAAGGACACAGTGGACTCTTTCAACAGCATTTGAGTCCTGGAATACAGTCGCCCTTCCAGACCAGAGCAACGCCACTCCCCATTATAAAAGAAAACTGTTTTGATTAAGCTGGTTGCTGTCGAGTTTCTGTCACTTGGAATTGAAAAGCACCTGACACATATAACAAGTCTTTGCATGTGAAAGTCCTCACTACATATTTAGAGACAACAGGGCTTTTGAGAACAAAGAAACTTAAGAAAGTAAAAAAAGATGGTTTCTCTAGTATTCCATAACCTATATGATTCCTTACATTGTATTTTCTGGCTAAATTATCAAATGTGGGAAAGAAAGAATAAAAGCAAAGGTGCTAGGCCTCGAATCTTCCCTGAGCTCTACAATTTGCTTTTAAAAAGTACTGGTTTTACAGATCAATTCCTGTTACAACGTATTTTCGGCATAACAGGAGCATCTCAAAGTTACAGAGAAAAGATCGCAATGATTTCAAGAAATATTAGATTCAAGACAGTTATCATCCCAGCACAAAGGAATTTAGATTTGTTGAAGGCCAGTGGAGTGTGTTATTACAGATGACAGATAACAAAGAAAAAACAAGAAACCACTGGAAATTCAAGCTTTGGGTCAATGCTGTAACCTAGTAGTCCCTGCTCCAAAATCAGAGTGACAAAAGAGTGCAAATACGAAAAGAAAATATTAAAAGGTTATTTTCATCTCTGATTTGTTTCGAAGTTTTGGTTTACAGACTGTGTCTGTCTCGAATAGGAGGTTCATTCTGTGCCTCTCTCACTGTTCTCGCTCACCTCGCCCATCCAGCAATCGTGCATTTTCTTCCCCTAGCCCACTTCCCAGGCCTTCCGCTCCAAATTCAAGTTGGAGACTGGCAGTTAGTACTCATATCATACAGAGATTTTCAGGCTATTCAGATCCACTTAACGAGCTGGAAATTCTGAGAAGTATCCAAATGAACCAAAGACTATTTGACACTCTGAAAAAGTATTGGAAGTTCTCTCTTCAAAAACGTGATAGAATAGCCAAGAAACGTATGCAAAGTAGCCGAACCTCAAGGGAATTTAACTTTTCACCTCAGTGAGGTGTCACCGCACGTCCATCCACTGGTCAAAGTGAATAACACAATGCTGGTAACACAAACTATCAGACAGGAAGGAGACAGATAACACAATGCTGGTAACACAAACTATCACACAGGAAGGAGACAAATCAGTACAACCACTGACGGCAGGGAGCTGAGGACGGCGTCCAGTAAAGCTGAAGATAGCAAACACGACGAGCCAGCTTTTCTGTTTCTCGATATATACCCTAGAGTAGCATTTTTCAATCTGAGGGTCCCAATTCCTTCAGGGTTATAAAATCAATAATCTTTAAAATAAAATAGAATAGAATAAAAATACAGTACATAACACATTATTTATAAGGCTGGGTGAAACTATGTTAAGGTATGTCTGTCGGTCTGTACGTACATATGTATTGGGTTGTTACATGAAATGTAACTGATTCTCTTCAGGAATCTTGTTCATGAATTTTGTTCATGAAGAGAGTGAATAAACGTGGTATACTCATACTATGGAATAATATGCAGCCATAACAATGAATAAACTTGACTAAATGTGTCAGCCTGAATCAACGTTAAAAACACGATCCCAAGTGAAAAAAAAAATAAGTTGAAGAAGATCACATATGGTTCCCCGCATTTCTGAAAAACGTCACAAAATTGTGTATCATTTATGTAGCTATAGACCATGTCACACGAGGAATGATACACATGTGGCCTCAGTTACTTGTTTCTTGAGGGTAGGGAGGAGGAGAGGGGATCTTCACTGTTTAAATGTTTTGTTTTCAAAACCTCTAGGACCTACCTGTGGCACGGACCGGTCTCCATAGGCATGCATCTTCAACTTCATCAAGGCAACCTTTGCAGCTGTTTCGCTATTTTTAGCGCCCTTCCGTCCCTTCCTTGTCGTCTGTCCCGCCTTGGAATCTAAGAAATAAGGATAAGCATATAAGCACATAAAAACTTTTGCATTACGTTTTCCAGAGTTTTATTAATTATTATTTATTATGGCCCTGAAATGTACACGAATTACGCACAATGGAGATATAGAGACCACATTCATTTCGTAGGTATTACATTTACACGATCAATGGAAAAAACACCACCGAGGCTGAGCCCAGCAATGCCGACGTCAAACAACTCACGGATAAGAGCTTCTTTCCAGCTTCCGCCTACTGATCCAATCGCTAACGCTCCACAGAGAACTGTAGATTTGGCTATAGACTTTAATAAAGGGAGCACCCGGAACACAGACAGAATGACAATTCTGCTGAGCTAACGTGCTGGCAGAGTGGCTGGGTCGCTGATGTGTGTGCTCAGACTACCAGCAGCGTTCACAGGACAGCTAACTAGGCTTAAAGTTTGCTTTAGCCTCGGGAACATCATTTACAGCCGTGCTGGTCAACTGGCTAATCTAAGTGGTCCGGCAAAAGAGAACATCTGATAGGGTACTTCCTCAGAATTTCCAAATCTTCACTGGTCAGGTGGAGATTGTAAGAAATACCATCACGATATGTCATCGAAATCTACAGCCAGTTAGAACCACTGGGGCTGTTAACGACACCTCCATAACTGGCAAGTGGACGCAAGAAGTACGAGCTTTGGAACTAACAGTATGTGACAACGAGGAAGGAACACAACGAACTTTGATACTTGCCAATGATGTCTTTAACAAGTTTCTGAGTGGCAGCCATTCGAGGCTCAGGGACTTCCAGTTTTTCACATTCATGATCTGACTGATGACGGTGTCTACGAGCAACAGAAAAGTGAAAGCAGTTCATGTATCTGCACACGAATGAAACAGACAGGTGGAGTCTGAAGGTCTGAGTGATCACCTCAGGCAGAAGTGCTTCTCACAATAAGGACACACAACCGGTACAAGCTGTCTTTCAGCGCAGCCCTTGAAAGAGCACGGGTAAGATGGATGCGCATCGGACTTCAGTCTCTCATTGATCACGGTCACCTGACAACAGACCAAGGGGGAAATGGCATTATATTTCACATGTAAACCAAACCAACAAATCTATTTTGGAAGGAGCACTCACAGGATTTTTGCTTAAACTTACAAGAGCAACTTATACACTCCCATAAAACAGATTATAATAAATATTTGTGTGAGAAATGATTACCGTGTTGACTATTCTCTATTTCCAAAATTGTCCTACTGTGGTGTGTTTATCTTCTAAGGAAAATTAAAATAACTAATCAGTTATTCTTTATAATTTAGTCTTCTTAACAATCCCACACAAAGATGCCCCCCATAATATTTTGCTCAGGTAATCACCTCATCCACCCTCAAATGAAAGGTCATACCTACTTTCTACACTCATTTTAAGTGGTTAAATACATATAAATGAACACATAAAAATTATGTTTATCATGATACAGAGGGTCAGAGACAAATCTGCTCAATTCTGGCTTTCCTTTGCAGACTCATCCGGGTCTATGCTAGCTTTCATCATTCGCTTTATCCTTTATCAATAATAAAGATGATATTTTGGCTTCTATGTGCCAGCTCTTTTCTTAATCTCTCAGTTTGGTCAGAATTAGAATGGGGATCTTGTTGGTTTATTCCTGGTGGTCTCAGGCTGACTGAGTCAGAAGAATTTACGACCACAGAATCCTAATCAGGCACCAGTGAAAATGAACACAAGCATGAAGGAAAATGAAAAGAGTGTATGATGAGGACGTCAGCTCCACTGTGGATTTATAAATATGGAGCCTAAAGCTGTAAGTGGGCCACCTAACTAGAACCCAAGTATAAAAAATAACAATTATAAGAATAAAAGTGTATAAATGCCAAGTAGATCAATTTTTCTTTAAAACAAACAAAAATAATATAAGCGCGGAAAGAGCCTCCTTCCATAATTAGTTTAGTATGTCGAATTTTAATCTGTGGTACACTGACTAGCTTGAAATTTCTTCAAAATCTGAATAGAAGCACATACACACAAACATGTTCAATGACACAGGAGAACTATTCACACACCTCGGGACAGCTATGCGACTCTCTGCTTCTGTGTTCAAGGCTTAAATAATTAAAAAAATAATGTTTATTTAAATGCAATCAAATAATGCACTTACAGATAAATGTAGTAATTTCCGATAACTTAATGGTTGGAATCGTTAAGATTAATTATACTTACAGTACATGAAGAACTCTCCATATAAGAATAAACTGAAATACCAGATAAAGATGGTGCATCTATAGTCTTAAACGTTTAAAACACACTGTTCAATTTTTAAAGCACAACTGTTCAATTTACTCAGTTTCAATGAGTAAAAATAATGTACCATTCTAAATCACCTCCACTTTGAGTGCTCTTAGGTGTGTGAACAGACAATCTTTGATTTCTTTCCATTTCTCAAAGACCATCCATAATAAAATGTCAAAGGAGTGTTCTAGTTCTGAATGATTTAAAAATATGCATTATTTTTCTTTACTTCTAATAAATTTTTCTGAATTATCTTCTGAAAAGAATTTGTTCTTTCAGTGCTCTATTTTATAAATTAAATGCAGTAAAGAAAATACATTTTCCAAAATTCTTGGTTCGTTCCCAGGCTTTACTTTGCACATTATATGTGTACCAAAGACATATGATGTCCAATTTAAGAAATGTATAGGTTGGGCTCTTTTTATTTAGTAATTAAGAGTAATAATCATAACTGGACCCCTCCCCCCGTATTCTTTATATTGTGGATGTATTTATTCTCTCCTTGTGATTAAGAGACACTAATACAACTTGTACATAAAAATCACGTACATAAATAGTGCCGATTATGGAAGTTTAAAGATTAGCCACACATATGTACAAGTAACCAGAGTCTGTGACTAGCCTGTTTCTTTTTCCCAAGTGATTACCGTAATGAATATCAAATACCGACGGCTAAAGTAAGAACTAATTTAAATCATTCCGCTTTTCAGAAATAAACCTCATATTACAAACACTAAAATTATTCTCAAATCCTGCATAAAAATGTAACTTACCAAAATATTCCTGAGCAAGCATCACATACAAACGGAAGAAAATCTAAAGTTGAGGGAAAATGTTATATGTATGGTCAGTATCTGATTTTGATTAGTTTTCCTGTAAAAAAGAAACGAAGCACAGACCCATCCCCAAGAGGAGACGCTCCTTTTTAACCAACACCTTAGTGCAGCTGGTAGTGGTTAAACAAGAGCTATCGCCTCAGTGCCCTGAGAGAGTAACTAGATTATCGGGAGATAAATGTTACTTGTAGAGGCAAACTAAACCCCAAAAAAAGTTCTGGGGTTTTTTTTTTGCTTTATTCGATTTTGTTTCCCAGATTTAGTTGGTGGTGTTTTTGAGGGCTGCATACTGCAAAATCCTGCAGTATGAAGTAAAAAAACCTATGTTTCAATTCTTATTCCACTGCTTACTAATCTAGCAATGCCAGACAAGTCACTTAATATATATACATATGAGTATATATATCTCCGAAGTATGTATATAAATATATTAGATAACATAGCTATAAATAGATATAGGTATACAGCATCTAAAAATAGATATAGGTATACAGCATCTGTGTGTGTATGTGTGTATATATCTATATCTATGCTACATGCTATACCTACTTCACAGAATTATACAAAACAAATTATATACATAAAAGAAATGAATAGTAAGACAGTAACTATAATTAATAAGATTACAACTAATTTGTTTACATACTCGACTCTGAGAAAAACTGTGGTGACTACGTGATGTTTTCAAAGGAACTCCAGAAATTCCAGAAATTCCATAGATAGACTGAGACTGCAAAATTCAATCCTAAATTGTGTTTTCTCTTGCTGTTGAGGAACAACTATGTTAGGATTAAGTAACCAAGTAACAACTGGTTAGGAACTGAATTTTGGGAAAGCAGGCAAATGTATCCGTTCCCAGATGTAGTAACTATTAACCACTAGACACAATCAATTCCTCTCTAATTGTCTTCAGTGTACTCAGAGCATACAGCCAAGTAGAGCTGTATACACCCAATCATATCAATTTCGTAAAGTAAAAACAAAAGGCACTGCGCTGTACAGAAAGCTACAATTGCCACCAAAAGATCTCATCCTACAGGTTACCTTAATCTGAAACCCACAGGAGAGGTCCTGTTATAACCAAAGGGGACCCTTGGGTGATTCTGCTTGAGGGACAAGAGGGCCCCAGTACAGTTCTTCCTTCACCTGAGAACTGGGCTTAGTGAATTGTCGCTGTTCTGAAAGCATGATACTGTGTGATCCTCTGTTTTATACCAAGAAAGTGTGTGTACATTTGTCAACAAGAGAAGGACACCGAAGCACGATACTCTGCAAAACTTGTATGTCTCTTTCGAATCGGAAAAATTGTACACGCTTGTTATTTCGAGATTTTTAAAGTGACCGTGTATATATTAGATGAAATGAAGAGGAGCCAAGGAAGAGTTAAAAATAAGATAATTTCCTGACAACTGACACCATCCTTCATCCATTCAGAAGCTAAATGAAATTTAGGATACTCACTTAACCGCTCTCCACTAGTCCAAGAGCTAGATAATCTGGCCTCATCTCAGATATTTACATTTTAAGAGACAGCTGAAGTTGGAAAGGAAGACGGCTATCTCACAAATGGTAGATAAGGTGGACTTATTAGGGGTAATCAGGTATACCACAGATACGTGACAGTCAAAATCAACTGGCTAAGCTGCCCTACGAAAGATGTGCCAGGAAGCACCGTTCCCACCTGCTAAACGGCTGGCCATTACGGCGGTGGTGAAACATACAAACACGGAGAGCTGTAAGTAACAAGGGCCTAGCAGAGATGGCTTCCTTTTACCCACAGCCCACAGCACGTATCACTGATCAATTGTGACACTCCCCAAATCTGGGCTGAACCTCAGAGTCCTACTCAACAGCGACTCGGGTACCTGCCACCAATAGGAGATGAAACCTAACTTGCCACCCTATTGTAGCATGAGCCAAAAGTGACAGCACACGTGTGGAGTGAAACTCAGGTACCAAACTCAAGTACTGAACATTCTGTGGGGTCTAATGTTTCAGAAAGGTGCCTGCTGGAGATGAATAAAATCCTAAAGCCTGTGCCACTACCGCGGGCCATTCGACTGGGGTCAGTGTACGCAGGTCTCTCAGTTCGGTGGAGAGAGAACATCCCCCCTTACTGGTCTGGAAGCTTTTCTAAGAAAAGTCTGTATTTTATAGCCTCGATGTAGTCCCCGCACCGAAACAGATGCTCGGTAAATATTTGTTGAACGGGTGACAATCTGAATCAAAGAGCGACGGAGCTGGCAGAGAGTGGCGATCGCCTGGCGGCCCAGTGTGGGAATGTGGCAGGGGCTAGGGGCCTTCTCCCCAGAGGCTCGTCTCCCGAGGCGCCCACGAAAACTAGGTTAGAAACGGGTCTCGCCCAGCTCCACCGTCTGACAGATGGTCAAACGAAAAGCGTGGGAGAGGGGAGCGGCTCGCCCCGGCTCGCGCCGCAGGGCCAGAGGGGGACGCAAGTCGTCCCTCCGCGAGCGACTTCTGGGCAAGGCGCACTGGAGACCGGAGGCCCAGGATGCAGGGCACGTCCCCAG